TATATATATGCATAATGTCATCTTTCTATCAGGCGGTATTACAGCGTCATTTTTGTTAGTGAGCATTTTTCAAGCCTGTACACTGCTCTTAGTCGTGCAGCCTCACTTAAATTCACCTTTGGCTTGATAGGAAAAAAGTCCGGAACTGAACAACATTTCCTGCTAGCCTAGGAGCACAGTGACCTGGTCGGAAGACGGCTCTTCGCGAGATTTTTGCGTCCTGCAACTGGGATCATACATCTTATTATCGTTTGTGGCAGACATGGACTGCCGCATGTGAAGTACGCAGTTAGTAGGACCTTTAGACACTTCTAGGTCAACCAGAGGAGGAACCGAGATCGCTGCTATATACAAAAGCTGAGATTTGACAAATGTACCAAAGTCTTGAAGATAAATGAAACGTCTACAAAAATTTGTTATATTTTACACTTTGTGATATTAATATAACATTATGATGATAAAGGCGCAAAAGCTACTCAGACTCAAAAAAATGTGCTAAATATATAGTTAGGATGCGTTATGGGTAGAAGCGGCTTAAGAGTGGCTTTCGTTTTGAATGTTTTGATGTAAAAAATGCTGAAAAAAATTGAAGATGATCAATACGTGAGTAGCTATGATATGGCCAAGAAACTAGACATCCACCATCAAACACATTTAAAGCATCTGAAGGCAAGTGGTTACGAAAATGTCTGACGAATTATTAATCGTACGACCATGCTTCCGTCTGTAAATTTCTACAGACAATCGATTCATTTCTAAAGCAGTTGGACACAGGTGTCAGAAAAAATAGATACTTTATAATTAATCTTATGACACAGCCCAAACTGATGTCAAGGTAATTTCATGCTATGTGTTTGGCGGGATTGGTAAAGAATCGCGCATTGTGCGTTGCTACCGTCTGATCTTAACCTCTACCATCAAAAAGGACCAAGATTACAACAGGTTATTGAAAAAAAATGGCAAGTAAAAGTGAATAAAAAAGAAAACGTTAGTTATCTTCTACCATGACAATGCCAGATAGACCTATAGTTACCCAGAAAAAAATTAGAGAACTTGGGTTGCATTCGCCGTATAACCCTGATTTGGACCATCGGATTATCATCATCTATTTTAATCTCTTCAGAACCCCCCCCTGATGCTGTCAATTTCGTTTCAATGAAGGAACGCAAAAATCACTTATCACGATTTTTCGTCCAGAAACCACTGAGAATTTACAGTATTAGTATTATGATACTATCAGGGGAATGGCAGAAAATCATCGACGACAATGGCGCATATATAGTTTTATAGTATTATTTTTAAGGCATAAAAATACGTTTTCGAAAACCTAGTAGATATATGCATAATGTCATCTTTGTTAGACCGCACAGAAGTGCTTGTTGGTACGTGTGTATAACATTGCGTGTTGCTTCTGCCAGTATCCGTATGGGCTGTCTTAAAGTGTGAATGAACGAGGTGCGCTCTCTACTTCACACTCAGTTCCAGCATTACGTGGCTAGACCGCTATGAAATCATTATACCGCTTCTGTTCTGTTCTAGACAATAACGAAAATACGGTTAGGAGCCAATTTAAAAAAAAAAGAAAAATACTTCAAAACAACACCCAAGTAGTTGCATAAACAGCTGTTATGTTTACAGAGCGCTAAAAAAATGTTCGCAGGCTTTACTGTTTCCTCCCCTGCCAATTGCGTCACTACGCTCAGCCGTATTTGCAGTCAGGCGTAAAATCTCAAAGTAGCGTTCATAAGTTAAATGAAAATAGCTCTTCTTTAAAATAAGACGATCGCTTCGAAATGCACTTCCGGAATTAAACATCATCGCTGCAGAGGGGCACTGATAGCCTCGCGGCATCCGTCAGCCGGCTAAACGAGCGGAACACTGGCGTTCATCAACTTCACTCCGTGGTAGCGAAATGAGCAGGAATAATCCTCGAACACACAAATGATGGGCCAGTTTCAATGCTTGTCGATTTTGCCTTGTGTATATACGCACGAGGATTGTGATGGATCAACAAAATTGGGGAACTCAAAACGCGTCAATATGGGCAATTGAGATAAATAACCCATTTCTAGCTGGTGAGCGCCACGTGCGGGTCTACAGGCTTTGGATCACATTGAAATAATCGCAATATTGGCGACTGCACACAAATTTCTTGCGCAATATGTCAATTCAACATGACGCGTTACCACCAATCAGCTCGAACGCTGCCTGAGTTGAATGAAAAGGCAGACGTGTCCGAATTTGTAACTGTACCCTTTAATGTGTGCGAGTTTCCTTAGACAACATCTGCATCAAAGACTTTGATAGAAAAGTCGTTAGGTCAGGTCCACGAGATACGTATGTCTGAATCCGCTTCGAAGACAATTGCCATAATGATTTTGTTTTGTGTTACCTTTGTCGAATGTCTACTCAGCTTGGCAGCTATTTGCTCACAACTCTGGCAAATGCGGGACACGGTATCATATATAGCAGCAAAATGCCACACTGACAACTTTCGTGTCAACAGCAGGTTTCCATAATGGCCGCTACTAACAAAGCTCATTCAAGCAACTTCAGCCCTAAACGCTGTGTTCCTCTGCTAATAGTGCTACTACCGCAACGCGGAAGGAAGTCCTGTGGAACCAATTATTTAGGCATGCCTAGAAGCCTTGCTCTACTCCTGTGACCGAACCCCCCGCAATGCACTTCCGTGGGTAGCACCACCTTTGACGCCTCCCGTTTCTGCCCGTCTAACGCCTTCAGTTCGAACGATTCCTTGTGATGGGTGAGATACCGCAAAATGATTCTGAGGACGACTCAAATTATTGTTTTGACATTGCTGAGCTGGTACCGAATCTCTTAATTGCAGCTTATCATTATATGTTGGTGATGTCAGCTTATCGCTTTGTTTCAACGATGCGATCTTGATGGTGAATTTGTAGAAGTTGACTGCTTGCAGCTGCTCTGAACATAATTTGTATAGTAAATGACATTTTGTAGCTCAAAGAAGTGCTTCTTCTTCAGCAATCAGGCTGCTCAAGCCTTTTATAAGTAGTAATACATATGATCCAAAAGCTAACAAATGCAACCGCTTTTGCTGACTATTTTGGCACGTAGATTCCATCCATATATTGGATCGGCCTCAATGCTTGCACTGACATCATCGTGCTTATTCAGTTCGACTAAGTTCTGTTCTACGTTTGTGAACTTGCGGTGATCCTACGTGCAAAATGACTGCACCCAGCACTATATATCCCTTTGCAAACTGTAAAGAAGCGGATGATCTAGCGGCGATAGAACGATTCTCCTAGTCAACTGGTCGTTCCGAACCTTTACGAATCAGGATAGGGTACGCTAAGTGCAGGATCTGACTGGTTCCGCCGACGGATGAAAGGCGAAGCATTCTTTGGTCGGTAACACGAAAGTTTGGCAGTAGACGATTTGGTCAGTCAAAGGACATTCACCCTTTATGGTAAGAGCCATTCCGGTACGGAAAGCGCCTATTAGACTCTATAAAAACAGGATAAAGAAAAAGGGAGAACGAGAAGAAAAAAAATACAAGGAGAGGTAAAAGGCCCATAAGTCGGTTCCGGTAAAGAGGTTTAGCAACCTGTGTACCTGACGCCATCATGTTCCTCTACTGCTTCAGCTATCAATTCGATGAGAAGCAGACAGCTAAAAAGGAGTTTAGTACTTTTACAGCACAGCATAACGGCCGGCCAAAAGGCCTGAAAGCTGAAAGCGTCAGTCGATTCTCAACTAATCTGGATCCCTGTCAGATCCTGCTGGTTCACCCTCGCACTCCCCGCACCCCTTTTAACCTTAAGGAACTTTCTAGCTGTGTGAAGTGAGAGAGATCTAAAAGAGCAAGCCGTTGCCGAACCGACGGCCCGAGTGCGTCCTGTCATATTCGCCTCAGTGCATCCCGACCTACACTGCTGACAATGTGTTCAGTAACGCTGCTTCTGGTTTGCGTTCGGATTAACATGGCATCGCACATTACGGCACAGGCAGCAAAGACAAAAAAGAAAGGACAATGCATCTACTTTGATCTTAGCTCAGCACCGGCCGACAACAAGCATTCCCCAGTAGTCAAACAGCGACAGGGAGAAGCAAGAAACGAGAAAATTATTCGTAGCTGCAGTGGACAGATTCCACGACCTTTCCTAAAGGTTAAAGATGAGATCTAGTGAGCACCGTTCCGATCGCGTGGGCGCACAAAACTCAGGAGGGTCAGTTACCAGCTTGAACTAGGCGCCTTCTCGGTTGTTGGACGGTGGAACGTGCCATGGCCGCTTGCTGCTCAAAAAAGGTTGTGAAGTCATCCTGTTTAGCGTGGTCTGTGAGCTTACAGAAGCCAAGAAAGAGAAGGCGGAGACCCCGCTGTAGCCTCTGAACCTGGAGTAAGAAATAGCGTACTTACGGAAATGGCAATGGCAGTAAGGATGTCGCTGGCGTGCGCGAACCAGGAAGAACTAGATGTAGAAAACGACGATTAAGCAGATCCGCCCCCTGCTTCCTGCGTGTGGAATGTAAGTGCTTTATTTGTATCTGCCTGTCTACGTGTGTGAGAAAGTGAATGTGTATTTGAAAGTGAAGTCTTTCCTTTTTCCTAATGTATATGGTTCTTTGTGCCTGCATTGTCTGTTTCTTTCTGATAAACTAAAGTGAGCCAGCGTCGTTCGAATGACTTTCTTTTCCTGTTTTTGCTCTTTATTCTCGAGGATCTGCTATCATCCAGGCTTTAGCCGGCGATCGCTGCTTGCCTCTTCAGGGATTCAGCATTATCCCATATAAGATCCCATAATAACGATCAGGAAACTCAAGCGAATACGCCAATCGGTTTGTTTGTATAATGGACGATATGTTTCTGTCTGATCTTATGGCTGTGAAGTCTTTCTGTCTGTAGATCTAAATATCTCACTGGGCTCCTAAGTTGACTTCTCAATTTTTTGTCTGTCTACACAACATTGCAGCCATCAACTTACAACGTTAACTTCTTTTCTCTCTTGACTCACGAAACAGGGTTGGCCGGTTAACCAGTTATTGTGATTTTTCAGACAATTATGTCGTCTGGTGGCATACTTGAAGATATGACTCTTCTGACGCCCCACTAAATAACGTAGCACGAACGAGTTAAACGCTATGTAGTCAGGTCCACCAAAGAAGGGGAAACACCAAAAGCTAGCTATTACGTGTGGCTTGCGAATAACATTTGTGCTGATGCTCATGCTGGTTAGTTGTAGTCGACAAAAGCAGGAAACCGTAAGTACCAGCAACGTTCGAACATAAACGCTTCGACTACCAGATATGCCGCTGATCTGCACGAGTATCCAGATGTACGTGTGCACACGGAATTGGATATAAGATAACAGTCAGAGAAGACATCCAATTCCAAAGAAAGCTGGGCGCATTTCTATAGGGACCCTATGGTCATCAGCCTTGCTATTACAAACTTCTTGAAAACTAACCTCAACCGACAAAACTGAACTCCGCTCATGAGCTGATTTTTTTTTGCGGTAGTTGAATCTTTACCACACCTTGCAGAGGGCTGGTTGATACGGGAAATAAGACAATGGCATCAAAAAGGAGGACAGAACGTTGTTGAACGAAACGTGTCCAATGCGTATGAAAGCCCTCACGTGTGCCTTTGTAAGGACGCTGTAAAAACGACGTATTAGTAATTGTTTGTAGAAACAATTTCACGATAGGCATATATAAGTAGTAAGCCCTATTGTGAAACCCACAGTTGATGGTTTGATATCTTATGTAGGACGACTTTGTACGATAGGAGCAATCGCATGGGAAGTTGGAGAGGAACAGAGCTCAAAGATTGTACGGCTTCTTATTCTCGATTCGTGCTACATAAATGGTGCATTCGTATCGTTCAGATAGTTCCACTGTGCCACCTCCATTCTCTGCTCGGTTACCGATGATTTTTTGTCATCGTTTGACGGTGTTTTAAGCGGATACCGTTACGAGAATGTGACTATTACGACGATCTAGAATAAAATCAGTGAAAGAACAGGAAATAAGCAGAGCTATCGGAAGAGCAAATAATTTCAGCCGATTGAGAGTCGGTACGAGAATATATCTGAACGCTACAAGGGTAGCCGGTAATAATGGTTAAACGCTTTATTAAATATTTACAAGCTAATAAAAACAAATAGCTCTTTTGCTTAAGCAATTAATGTATATATTTGAGCTATGTATGCACAATCCAGCAGGAAACAGTATGAGTCACATTTTGTGCAGGTTCACCTAGGTATTCTTCTTTGCACAGCATAATGATATAGGTACTGTTAAGGCAAAAGGTCAGTTAGAGATAATTTTAGCCCTCTCGCACTCGTACCTGCTTTTCTCACATCAGATCTACTTCTCTAATAATTCTAGGGTGAGCTTACCTATGATTGTAGCGTCGAAGCTTCTGCAAGCCGTATTTAGAATCTGCACTACCCTTCGTGACGGGTAGCCCCTCTAGGTTAGCCATTAATTGGTTTATCGAACTTCGCATCTCCTCGATGAACAGTAATTCCATCTCCTTTACTACAAACTTTGGCAGCAATTTGCGATTCTAATTTGTGCGATTTGTCCGACAGTTGTGCAATGAGAAAAATAAAGCAAACGTTAGAGCGCGGAAACTAAGACTGATAATGTTATTCACCAGCAGTATATTGTAGAAGATAAAATTTTCTATAGCAGATTACTTTAAAAAGGTTTCTATCTGGTTGAAGACCTTTCACACAACACGAACTTCCTCGACCTCTATTAAGGATGGAACTATTAGTTAGTTCATCAAACCGGCACTAAGCCGCTTCAAGTCAAAAACCTTTAATTATTGATTGAAAGATCGGCTATCTAGCTGAAGTCGGCATGAAGAGCTATGCAGTTGATGCAATATGGATTCCCAGTTGTTCTGTCTTCTCAGCGTTCAGTGTATTACGTTTGGCTTTCAGGACACCAAGACGTTCAGCTTGTCTACGGCATCTTTTCATGTCCGTCTATGTATATGGCTTAGTCTCTATAATGGTCCTTTTCTCCGGCCACGACCACCAAATAATTTAGTTAGTTAGTATAGCTAACTTTCAAGAACACACAGAAGTTTTTCGCCCGAATGAGACGAACACGGAAACGAAAAAATGGGTAGAGGGAAATTTTCAGTTTTCCGACACCGCCACTGACACAGTAAAGTACTGAAGTTACGGGAAGTTTGTTTTTTTTGCTTCATTGTTTATTGTCTTTTTTTCACTTCTGTTCGTTCCTACTGAAAGCGTTGAAAAAACGGGCAACGGATTTTTTAAATTCGTCCTATAGTGACAGTCTTGGTTTTGATGCCAGTCGCGACAGAAACTACATTTGCTTCATCGGGGTTTCCTTCTTATGAAAGCAAGTGAGAGTAGCAGTGCTGATCCTAGAAGGTAACCACCTGGTCCGCGATTTAAGCAGAAATAGCATGTACGTGCTGTTATGTATGAGGTGCGCTGAGTTGTAGACTAACTAAAAAAAAATCCTTTGTAATAACTGGGAATAGGCTGCTGTCGGAAGCGACAAACAGGACCGATCCGTGCCAAAATTATTTCCTTTAAAAACATTTGTCAAGTCATTGGCGGAACGCACTGTTAGCTGAAGCCGATGGGCATCGACAAAAACATTGAAAGCGGCCTTTCAACGATAAGGAAATTTAATAAAAATAGAGGAGAGCTTCTCAAAGAACAATCGGTCAACTAGAGGTCAATTCGCTAAACTCGATTAGCCTCCACAGAAATACTTCTAGTTAATTTTTGCAATAAAAACAAAAATGTCTTAAGATCTTAGCTTTGCGACAGTACTAGTTTTGAAAGCGCTTAGCGTGAAGTAAAGTCTCCGCGTCAAGTGTGAAGTAAAGGAAGTGAAACAATTGGGGCACGTCAAAGGCGTTCGAGGTAAAGTCTGTTTTCCGGGTTTCTGTTCTCTGCGAAGGAGCTGCAGACTTTCATTTTCCATAGTGCTGATGATTATAGTATTCTTAACTAGCGGCAAATGTAAGTTCCTATCGCATCCTTGCCGCTGTTGCCTTAGTCCCACGATGCTACTGGTGAACTTGATGGCGTCGCTTGAACATCCCTGCACAGTTATCACCATTGGTTGTCATCGGTCTTGATTATCATTCAAAATTTCCTAGAAAACCACCACAGAAGCTGAGCTGCTGCCGCCGATGGCGGCTCATTATCAATGAGCCTGAAGCAAAGCTGGAAAGGTGGACTCCACTTACGGTAAGTACCTATTTCTTCCTCTTCTGTAGCTGCTAACTCGCTTCATTGTCTTTTTTCTTCGCTTTAAACCCTTTACAACAGCAAGTGCCGAGCCTGATTTGAGGCTAAACTGTCCTGGTCCTGTTCCTTCGTTCTTACCGCTGCCGTTGACCGCAATCGCTAGTTTTTCTTTGCTGTCAAAGCCGTCGATTGTTTCGAAGGAAAGTGCAGCCGCACGCTAACAGTGGCTACTGATATTGTTACCGTCATACCGTCAGCGTATTTGAATCGTTGAGTAGTTCCAGCAAAAGAAAACGACGTTGTAAACGAGCAAACGATATTGTAGGCAGAGTAAAACGAAACACAGTAGGAGAATATTGACTGTATGGCTAAGGACTTACAAAACAAAAAATTAATTCTCCTTTACCGCCTTTCGTGGAAAAGATTCCGGACTTTATAACGCAATAGTGTAAACAGCGGCATGTGTAATAGCGGGAAGGTCTAGATTTTAAGTGATATCATCTGTACGTTTCTTGCTCTGACTGTGTGCCTCGTTGGGTCGCGTAGGACTGTCGGGTCTACGACTCCACAGTCTTGCGCGAAGCAATAATCCAGAAAACATTACGTGAAGGCTAGCTTAGGCAATCTAAGCTTATCCTAGGGCTTGTTCCAGCATGCCGTTGCCACGTGATTCTAGCCTTTAAAAACTTCATATGGCAATCCGAACCGTAGCCCTAGCTAAGAGAAGAAGTTTTGTCTAGCTTGTCCTTCACTCAAAAAGCGGCAAAACACCTGGCCTTTATTTGCTTAACTTACCGAAAATGCGCAGACTGCAGGTTCGTCCTTAACTAACGTAGCAAGTCCTTTTATATTGTCAATTTACCCTACAATGAGTAGCAATTTTGCCTTTCATTTACCCGTTCCTCTCTACTATCTGCGTGCCGTTTGTCGTCCGCATTTATGGCTTTGGTTTTAGAGAGTACCAATGAGCGTGTAGAGGCTAGGAAGAGTTGTAACTCGCTGCTAAGGCAACACTCGCAGCCGCAAAGATACGGTCTGTTGTGTGTAATAAAAATTAAACATATCAGTTAATAATTCGTTGAGTTTACTGCCAGTAACTCGTGCCTATTTGGACACAGTATACGAGCAGAGTAACAAGGAAGAGCCCTAATTCTCTATTTTACTGACTGCTCTCGTGCAGCCGCGTAGTAACGCAGGAAACGTGCTTGAAAGTGCGGAAATTGCCTACGTACGTTCCTGGCTGTACTAAAGCACAGTATCCTCAATCAATATTTGTTTGAACTCAGTGAGAAGGCTCGGTAGAGAACTTCTTGTTCGGCTGCGTGTTCTTCTATGGGTCGTCACCGGAGTACTTTAGGTGTGAAAGATCTGGTTTGCGTGTTGTATACGTGTTCTGGTGACTGCGTGCCTTGTCTGTACTCCCCTGTGCCTTTGGTCGATGTATTCAACTTCGTACCTTTTCAAGTTCATTAATTTTTTGAACTTTTCCATCGAGCTCCCGCCGAATCGCTGCAGCCTGTTCATCTGCGGAGTCAAGCTGTAACAAATTGAAATAGTTAAAGACACAATAATTGACTGTACAAATGTAACTGAAACATTTAAGGTCATTGTGGTAAAAAAAAATACAGTAATACTATTGACAATTTGCGAGCATGGTCAATTTGCAAGCTCTGGTCGCCTGACATCGAACAGTTGTGTAATCTGGAATCGTATTCTCCTCAAACAAGCGTTCACATACATAGTATGTTCACTATAAACCACTTTTGAGGTGGCCAGCGTCGGAACGTCGCTTGCCAATTGCTTCCGTGCTCTCCGTCTCTATGCTCTTGTATTTGTTCTCAGCGTTACACGATGTGCGACTTCACACAATCGTCGCGGCAGTGAAGCGGAAACTGTTACGCCGCAATCAATCACCCTTAATTATCACATCGTTTCGAGGTCTTCCCTCGGCTTCTCTACACCTCTCCACCTTCTCTATCCTATTCGTAGTGCTCCCCCAGTAACAGTTTATTCTATTTCTATGCGTGTCTATCTATGGGGGTCTTTGTGCATGTAACAAACCGTTTAAGTCGTCTGAGCAGAGATTAAACGGTTTCCTCCGAGTGCTACCACCGTTGAGTACATTTGAGTGAACGTACGATATACTTAACGCCGATAACTTCTTAGCCACCGAGTGGTTCGACGGTGACCTTCAATGATCGTCTCTTTGTGATAATATTGACTACTGTTTACCAGTGGAAAGGAGGAGACGTCATTCGAAAAAAAAACGGGACGCCAGGCACGATTGGTTAGTGCTGCCGATCCCACATTTGAAACGCTTTGTCGTTTCGGTGTTGTACCGACATGACTGTTCACTGATCCCATTTCGTAATACTACCGCCGGCAGTTTACTGACGTCGACCTGAATTTCTTTTAGCCAGTGACATAATCGCCGAGTGCGGCCATTTAGCCTGTAGGAAAGTTTTACTTGAAATAAAAAGAAGTCCTCAAAGGTTGATCGAAATCGGCTGGCAGAAGCGCATAATCGGTACGATTATGCGCTTCTGCCAGCACGGTGCAAATGTATGACAATGGCGCGTATAAAAAGCGCCCCTGAAGCTAGATCGATTCTACTACTATTATTACTGATACTAAAATGCGTCAACTCACCTGTAAGGCATTGTACAAAAGCTGATGCTCAAACTTCTTAATATTCAAAATATTCTGAAACATGTCGTATAGTTGTTCCTTACTGAGGACCATTTCAGCAGCTAAATTCTGCTGCTGCAATCGACTTTGAGCCTTTCGGGAATCTTCGTCTCCGCGAAAGATGGCATCGAACTTCGTCATCCACGATGTCAACACCTAAGATGAGATCAATCGAAAGGAAACAAGTCGAGTAAAATAGGGGCTGACGACGGCAGTATAGGACGTACGCAGTTGTCTTGCTGTTTTTTATCTTATTTGGTCGCTTAACAAAACATAAACATTTCAGTACAAAGTCAATAGCAGTATTGGCCATAGACCGAAATTATGTTAAGATAATTAAATGAACAGCATAGGCGTCATGTTTAGTGTTTCCTGGTGATAGTTATTATACGTTACATTAAATAACTTCTTTCGTTTTTCACTAGTCCACTCTGATCTATTTAGTTCTATTGCAAACGCTGCTCAAAGTCTGACAGATACGCTCGTCGCTGTCATTTTCACCATCTATTGAGATCCGTGTCCTCTGAAGTTTATCAAACTCTGATTAATATTAGCTTTCTGCCCGAGTTTGCTGTTAGTACGGCCGTGGCAATTCCAGCCGTCGGCGAAACGCTGCAGCTCACATATGTCGTGAGTTTTATAGCCATTCGAATCCACATTGCACTGCTTTCTAGATAAGCATAGCGAAGAGCACAACATCTGTCCACGTACGTCTACATTGCCTTACCGTAGAGTCCGTCTCCAGCTAGTCGGGAAACACTCACCCCATGAGGCGGCAATGCCTTTTTGGTCTTCAGGTATCTTGTTTCCGTGAGGCCCGTTCATACACGTAGTTCATACATGACCTTTTGGTTTTCTATTCTCTTGTAATGAACGCGGACGCGCAAAATAACACGAGCAGTTGCAATAGCCGGAACGGGATCACGAGCAAAGAGAAAAATCTTAGGTAGACGCCATAGGCGCAACTGGGTTCACAAATAGCAACGAAAAGGCCTAGCTCTGCGATAGAAAAAAGCAAAAAGCGATCGGTGCTCCAAAACCGGTACTCAGCAGTTCTGGAATCTTTTCGCCTCTTTACTATGCGGATTCTTCGTCGAGAGGGTTTAGGCAGCAGCCAGTGACTAATCTATGAACGGTGGCAATGGCGACAAGGGGTGTCTCCTGCGCGGCAGTGTGACAGTACCAATATTGATTAAAGCTTACTTTCTTCGACATCCGACACTCAGCGCCCACTTTCGCTTTTTTCCGGACTTTAGTTCTTGACCATCAGTCTCGCTGATGTCATCGACGGTCCACTGATCACGACGGGAGTTCCGCCAGGTGCCTCTGCGTCTCGATGAACATTCCTCGCAGTAAATATCCTCCGAGAAAGAGTGAGAATAGCTCTAGATGCCATTTGGGCAGTAAGGGGGTTTCTTCTTCGATAGGCAGAAAGAAAAAACACCCTGCGCATTAAAGCGCAAACGCACTCCATCTCTGTTTAGTTTCACGCGCAATGAGTCCAGTTTCTCACGTTGAATGCTTGAATTCAGTGCTGCCGTCATTCACATCCGTCACGAAAGCCGGCCAGCTACTGCCATTGAATTTGTGGATGTTGCTCGCTTTATCCGGTAACCAATGCCGACAGTGAGACGAGTACGGGGAAAATTTGTTGGGGCTGATGGTGGGACGTCCATGGACGCAACTGGCTGCCGATAAGAATGAAAATTCGAAGGGAAAAACGACTGGTCAACTCATAAGGTAGCAAAAACAGAGAACTTAAAAGCGTCTATTTATACGTGGACAATGAGGGCATAAAAATATAGCTCCATCGTGTGTTGCTTTCTGTGTCTTGGACCGAAGCAACGACTGACCGACCTATTAGCTTTTCAACTACTAAGTAAAGTATATATATGTATGTATATTCAGGAAAAAAAAGGCTATTCAGAAAAAAAAAATATTATATGCGGGAATATGATGTTTTGTAAATCGTGCTAGCGACTAGCTGTGTAAACGACGTAGAAAGCAATTGCTGATAACGAAAGCATCAAAACAGGCCAGATCAGACAAAAATTGCTTTTTTACTTTGAGAAAATTTTGATAATTTTTACTTTTTTAGTTCTGTACACTGTAGGAGCAGCGCACTGATATAAACAGGTCGAAAGACAGGTGTCTTTCAAGTAATTGATGCAATTGAAATAGCTTTAAGATTTAATTTAAATGTAGCTTTAAATACATTTAAGTTGAAAATTAATCTTATAGCAAATGATATAGAAAGAGAAACATTACAGTCATAGTGGGGAGAAGAAAGTAGCACGCCGCCCGATTCACCTTAGGATTCTATCCACGCCTAAAGCTCTCGGCGGGGCACCAGCCTCTTGTGAGTTCCTGCCAGAGTATGGCTTTTGCAGAGTTCACGGAATCAGTATTCGTTGCAGTTAATTGTGTTGTCAAAGATGGGACGAAGGAAAGGATTTGCGCGCTAATCGTTTCGTGCGCACTTTTTTCAGCGTCAGAAGGAGAAACCATGCCTTGTTATTATCGCTGTCGCTACGACGACCAGACTACGAGAGGGACTAGCTGAAGACGAATGGACGTAGATACATGTCAGGTTGTCCTGACACACCTCCTATTCGCTTTGATTTGCCGGGCTTCGTGCCTAGCCAGGTTTTAAATACTGAAACCTATGGAATCACAGAAACATTGATACGCACTGAGCTATCGGTATATATAGAGAACGGCTTAAACTTTGAATAGTTCGGCTTACCGTTTCTTTGCTAAGACCATCGATTTCTGGAAGCGACCTAACTCTTTTCTCGATATTATTTCGGAAAACTTCTCTGAAGTCATGTTGAGAGCAGGCCCTGCTCACAACCATTATAGCTACTCGGTCACTCTTGAGAAACACCTGTAAGTAGCAGCAAAACGGAAGAATAAACGAATAGGTATTTGGATTGAGGCTGAAAGCCGCTTACCGTTGTTTTAATGTATATTAGCAGTATTATTAACAGTGTACGGCAATATGTAAAGCTGTGTTAGTAAGAGGGCAATTATTAATGTTGATTTAAAAGTAGGAATCTTCTTCCAAATAGAATCAAAAGCAAAATGAAGAGACCTACAGAAATCGTCGGCTGTAAAATAGACGATTGCATCATAGACCATTTGATTGATATGGGGATCCAACTATGCGTCCGTGTGTAAGAAAAAATTACGTAAAACTTAAAGAAACAGAAAGGAAATGTATCCGAGGTGTCCAAGCATTGAACTGAACAGTAATCTAATCTTGCTTGCTCTTATTTGGATGCTTTTCTTATTTGATCATTAACAATGACCTAAATATCTGTGATTCTCGTCTACCTACTCGACATGCATATATCATGATAAATATCACAGATGTAAATACACAGAAAACGCATGGTTTCACCTAAATTTCTTTTCCCTGGATCAGTGGGTATGTCTCAGTTTAAAGCACTCATAGAAGAATAAGTAATAGCATAATACACCGGCAATATCGTTATACAAACATTTTTCCTGCCGAAAACTGCTCGAGGTAATTGTTTAGCTATGACCTCATCGGAAGTCATCAAACGAATTATCCTTTTTTCGTTGTCGTTTTATAACTGGCGAGCAACCTCAATTTCTACTAAATCCATTTGTTGCATCGATTTGCAATGGGATTTTTTTTTTAATTATAGGCATTATTTTCCCTAAACTTTAGAGGATATATTCCCTTAATGAAAATATATTTTGCTAATATTCGTATATGAATATAGGTGATTTTCTAATATTGGTAGCACTTTATTGGTGACAATATCAAGCGAGGGGTCCTTTATTTGAAGTCCCGTCGTTCAAACAGCATTCAAATAAAGGAAAACGGTGCCGTTTGCTTAGGCTTTCGAGCATAGAAGGACTCCACGTTGCCTAGGCCTGAAAGGCCTCGGCTTAGTTCTGAGGAGTAAGCGACAAACACATCGGCTTACCTGCAACTGGCACGTAATCTAGCAGCGGTTGCCTGAGCCATTGCTGAAGCCAAACGATTTTTCGTTAATAATAATTCGTCTTCCGTTGTTGATAAAGCGCAGGAGTTGTAGTACGTTGCACCAGACGTAAGTCTATCTAGACGAGACGAGAAATCGCGCCGCTGATGTTCATTTGGCTAATTATACATTCAACGTCACCAGCGATCGTAGTGGCAGTATTGAGATCACCAAAGGGCCATTATACGGAAAACTACTCTTCCCCTGCTCAACTACCTACCTCCGGATACCTTTACACTACTGACATCATTTAGCATGGTTGCTGTGTCATGCCATATACCCCACGGCATTGCTGCTCTTATAAAAAATAGCGGAATAGATAAAGAAAAATCTCTTGAGCGTTATTATCGAACGCAAAACATACGTTGGGAATACAAGATATGTAGCCATTGGATTATTGCGCTACGTTTTCGTGGGGATTCTTGAGATGGCGGATGATAGCTGCACTTGTACGGCGATAGCACTAAAAAACATATAAAGCCAAACAAACTACTTGCCAACATGTCTTATTTTGACTAACGACGCATCGTTCAGACGACATCCAAGTAAAAGCAAACGGTGCCACTTGCTTAGACTCTCGAGTACAGGAGGACCCCGCGTCGCCTGAGCCTAAAAGGCCTCGGCTTAATTCAACACACCCTGAGGAAGAAGCGACAAACACATCGGCTTACCCCAACTGGTCACCGGTCGTTCGATTGAATAAGTCGAAACACTGGTAGAATCAGTAAAACCCACGAAGCTGATATGCCTAACGGTCAAGGCGAGATGGCCAACTTATAGAAAGCGCTCTCGTAACGCTGGCAGCCAGAAGAAGGACGCACCAATCAGGTCAGAAGCCAGTATCAATAGATCAGTCTAGCCTCCGGAACAATGCATATACATAGTTAGTGACCGGCGCCGCTAGAGAGGCAAAACCGAATCCGACCTGCTGGCGCGCATGAACTCGTGTCAAGCTTGAGTGACCGAGAGAACGATCGGCCGTGCCATTCACCAAGGACCATTGTCTTACCTCAGTGTAACTCTGTACAGCGTTCTGGAAGGCTTCATCCGCAGCAATCGTCGTCTCGCCCTTAAGAAAGGCCTGAAATCGTTTCTGAAGTGTCTCGAGCTGTTCTTTTGTGACTTTCATCTGCCGCCGCGACATATCGTTTGGTTGTTTCGCGTTGAACGGGTACGCCACGCATCGCAGGATGAACACGTACAGCTGGAGTCTCTTGCGGCGCTCCTGTAAAAAAAGTTCCGCCATCAGTCAGATCATTACAGGGAATACAATACAGACCTGGACTTTAATGAACGAGTAGTTTAGGGACGTGGCTCAAGTCTACGCACGTAACCTTCTTTGCAAACAGGATATGCTTCAAGGTCACCTCAAGCATGGCTTTATTTGAAATGATATGCCTTTTTGTTAATAAGTCTATCAAGAACACAGTCACTGTGTTTTCACTTCCAAAGACTAAGCTGCTGTCCACAGACGTACTAACTTGTAAAAAAAAGTCTAACCAAATTCAAGACAAGCTGTTCTGTGTTACTGCATATTTTTGTGACACACGCCGTATAGGGACATTATGCACGACGTTGGAAGCAGCAGTCCTTAGTGGAGGGCGCTACTGGGACGACAGGATGTTGTTGTTTTAAGTGCGTGTGCCAACATAAGTCCATTAGAAATTGTAGGGGCTAAGCCTTGACGAAATATATAAAGCCAGGAACCTAATTGACTCAGGCACCATTAGAATAATAATTAAGCAACTGAAAGACTTGAAAGAAAAAAAATATTAGAAATACGACCGTCTGGAGGAATAACCCTTGTAGCTTTTGTAAGTAATGGGTGGGGAATCTTAAAGTCTACCAAAGATGTCGTATCAGCCATATTAAAATGGAAATATATCCCATTAACTGTTCAAAATGTAGCTCCTTTTTGACTCCGCGTTTCATTGACACCTCAGTAAATGGCAATGGAGTGGTTCGTAGAAAAAACACGAAGCGGAACTTTTAATCAGCCCCCGATTCCCTACTATTACCGAGCTAGAGCGTCAAGAACCAACGTCTAGGCAACTGAACGCTTCGAGACAGTGGATTTCATCAGCATTTTAGATCACCTTTAAGTAGTGCAGATTTTTGCTTTCTTCGGTACCTTTCGCCCTTTGTACAAGCTCATTCGAAATAACGTTTTTATGAAGACGAAATAGGAACGCCTAAGGGTATAGGCAATATCCCGTCAACCCTCAAAAAACATCGAACTATCTACTAAAGGGTATAATTATCATGTACAACAACACCTTTTTGGAAGAGCGATCTTTTTACTCTAGAAGCTCACTGGCTTCTCTGCCTTCAGTATATTATACTTGGAAATGCTTCGTGTTGGCGACAATTTGAGCCATCCTGGGTCGTTAGCCGTAGGATAGGCAATTTTAGGAAATTTTATTCGAAAGGGAGCTAATATTATCTTGCGCGCGTACTACTATGAGGTTGGAAGACCCTTTTTTGATGTAATTTCCTCCATTGTTATGTACGAGCACAAATAACTAGCCGAATTCTCCACTTTAGCTAGGTCGCAGCTTCGAAGGCCATACACGTGCATATATTGTAATAAAGCAGAAACGATTGTCGAACAGCGGTCGAACTTTAAGCTGAAGCAATTATCAGGTCCACACCAGACATCTTTGGTTAACCTTGAGTTAATTTGGTTCCTAATAAGACCTTTTTGTGCTAAGAGGTTTTTTAATGGATGCGTTTAACTTTTTTAATCATTTTTTTATGTTTTCTAGAACCACATGCGTAGACTATGTCCTGTGTTGGAAAATAAATAAAACAAAAGGAATAATAAATAAATGTTTTTTTTTTGAAGAGTGGGAAGCTCCACTATTCCATCGGTTTTAATGAAAGTTTACCACCATTTAAATAAATATATCGGGCTGCATATTTGGTACGGCCCGATGTCCTGCCAGTGTACGGTTTCGAGCCTCGCCGAACTGCTCGTCTAACAAACAAACGACCACTACAACATTACCAAGAGAACACCCTTTGAAATATATTGTCAAGGGCTTTTTTCTTCATGATTTCTTCTGTTTTCAAACACGCCTTATTATCGCAGGACAAAAAGGGCAGAAACGGACTAAAGATTTCCTGTGAAATCTTTGAACTCCAACCCCTTGAAAGACTAAATATAGTCTTTCAAGGGGTTGCCTCGTTTTCTGAAAACAGTATAAGAACTAGTGCGCTCATTTGACTAGAAGGTAATATAGCCGACTTAAAATATATATAAAATAGATTTTACGCAGCCCCATTAAGTAAGCTCTGTTTTATAAAAATGCATTCAGTGAAAAAAAAAACGTTTATTCAATAATAGGGCAAAATTCGCGCCCTGCTGAGTAATATCGCCTAAATTACACAAGTTCACCGCGAAAGCCTTATCTTACTGCTATTTTATACGACATTTTAAGAAAGGATATCACATGCTAGGAGTGAAGAAACGATCATTAAAGCACCGTTCGGAGAAACAGAATTTGATGGTAATTGGAACAATTAGAACGGCACAAACGCATACTGGCAAGTTAGTAGCGAATGTAGTTTACACGTACGCCCAAAACACAGATTTGGTTACCACGCGTCCCGCAACAAATTTCTGTTAGATGCCTGTACGGTTGTCTAAGGTTCATCAAAGAAGCGGTCCATTGTATAGCCATCCTATAGTCTCGCTCTACAAATGACCTAAATATATCGTCATACTTTACCATTGAAGTGGTAAGTAAACAGGCTCGCATACGAGTTCCGCGTGCGTCATTATTAACAGCGTTCCTGGTAATATCTTTACATAAGCCTATGTTTCATATTGGCAAGGCGTACAAATAGGACAGCGCAGAGCATAGTCTGCACGTAATTGTATCTATGGAGAATGTTTAATAATCTTTAAAAATAAACGGTCGCATTACCCAGCGGAATTCTCCTGTGATAATGGCTATAGTCTCAGTCACATAGACGCTGTAATGATCACAATAACAATACTGACCTCCTCCTCGTTCTGCGGCATTAAGTCCACTCCCGTCTCTTCGCTCGATGGAGGTTGGCTACCAGGCTGAACGGCAGCTTGACCTTGTTGATGGGCCTGCGACGATTGGTTTTGCGGGGCTTTAACCTGAAACGCAAACAACAGAGCGGGTCCCTGCTGTAACAGAATGTCATCTACATGAACACCCAGTGAGTACAACTACCCATCTAACGATCTATGCACTAGATAAGGATATGTAAAAAAAATATACCCCTATCCAGCTCAGATCATAGGTAACTTTATCTAAACAACAGAGCAGTGCATCAAACTTTTTCAACCTGATAAACAACAAGCGCCGCGATATACGAGTTTAGCTGCAAATCCAGCTACATAATTTAAATTGCAATGAGACATATGTTGATATAAGGTTAAACGTGATCTTCGAAAATTTGCTGAAAAATATTACAAGCGTTAGGTTTATTGCTTGCTTCCTTCCTAACATGTGATCTTTGACAAGATTCGCGTATTTTATTAGATCTGAATTACGTCATTATTAAATTAAATTACGTCAATTACTAAAATAAATAACAGTAATATTATCGAGAAGTTATTATAATCAAGCGAATAGCGTCAGATCTAAAATAATTATAGCTTTTCACTGACAAGCTTTCCTGCATTGAACTTCTAAGAACTACATTGAACCGAAAAACTCATGCTGACTATATAGAGATGCTAACTATATATAGGAAATCTTTATTAAATGTCACAGCCATAAGAAAAGCAGCGCTTATACCTCGCCGAGCCACTTTTTGCACGGCGTGTCACCTCAAATTAAAGAACTAGTAATGGTCAAAGATTTCATATGTACAAATCAACAACACAATCTTGTTGAGTTTATAAAACTAATTTTGGAGATTTGCCAGATATCGTAAATACGATACCAAGGACCAACAAGTGGCACCATGATTTCCGCCGGGGTTCGGAGCACGCAGATGTGTTCGTGGAAACCTGGTTCCCACCAGAATCTGCGGTGAAACTCCTGCCTGGCAAAGCAAGTGACGATGTATCTGTTTAGTCGGTTCGTCGTGTTCCACTTGTTGCTCCTCTTCGCACTCGAAGCAGAAAAAAACTTCAGCAACCTCCGTAAACATTTTCTTCAAGTTTCTAAGCTTGGTCTCGAAAGCTTCCGTCACCAAAACGACAATGTAGGTTCTTGGACAGTAATGGCGAGTTGACTAAGATGTTTTCGGGTTACTATTTCTATTTCCAGGACCTTTTTGCGGGAGAAGGCCTTGATACAATGAGGTTGTTGGAGGTTCTCTGCTGTAAAACTTCCCATAAGTTGTGCTCGGAGCTAGCTTCAGGTCAAACACGCTGAGAGCGTTTGCGAGGAACAAACGCTGAAGCCACTTGATCGCGGTCAACAATAGCTTTCTGCGTGCCTCGGTAACGCGCGCAGTGAAACCTCACGAAGAAAAACAACCCAAATTACGAAAACCGGGTTATATAGGTAAGGGGCAAAACAAAATTTAAAAAAAAAACGTTTAGAGAAAGAGAGGCTAGAAATTTTTGCACGTCTCTTTTCGAGATGGCAAATAAGCAGTCTGATACCCTACCAACTGATAAATGAATGATTGCGACGATCCGAGTAATGTATAACGATACTTCAACATTCTAACCTTTTCCGCCATGATGACCTAAGCAGAAGGCTTCTTTGAAACGTGCAGAGTCGCTTTCCCCTTCACCGTTCAAGCGATAAGACAGCGACAGAAGCTAAATGTGAGCACATTCAGAAATTTTACTACAGAACACACAGGGACTAGTAGTTGAAACTGCGGCTTTTCTGTAGACGATTCAAGAGTCGTCTGGACTTGTAATAACGAGACTATTTAGACAGTAGCAACTGCCTCTATTGCTACACATATCCAACCAATAATCTCGAATATTATCGTTTTGTCCGTTGCCTACCTGTTCCTGAAGTAGCGTAATGGGCGCGGGACTTGTGGGCCGTAAGCTGTTGGATCTTTGTTGGATAATTGCGGGCAATCCGCTGGCTGCCAGTGAGACCGACGACACGGACTCGGTGGCTGCTGGGGATATCGAGCGGGTAGTAATGCCTGATGACGGGAACTCAAGCGTCGTCACCGAAGATGACACCCGAACCTAGAAATTGCAAAAGGGAAAACTGTCGTATTAAAATGGGAGCTTGCATTAATCAAACTACCAATTGCTTATCCTTCTCTAAAACGTAGAAGCGATAACGGATTGCTTAAACGATCTATTGTCGAGTCGATGTTAGCAAAAAAAAATTATTTAAAATATTTGAAAAAATATTTGAACTAAGTATCTATGGCCTGCTCGGGCCTAAAGCCTTCAAACATCCTCTACAGTACGCAAAACTCTGTAACGAGCAGTAGCTTTAGCTAGTCTTGATATTTGGGTATTTGAAGATTCAGATTATATTATTAAAATATATGGAATATACAATAATGCTCATACCGCATGAGCAACCGCCTAACTCGCAATTGTGTAAGTTACAATTTGAATTAACTCAAATCTTTGACATATATGCACTGCCATACCTCTAACTTCCGAGCTCTAAGTTAAATCTCTAGCTAATTATTCTTGAATCATATATCGTCTCAGTAATAAAACATACGCATAGCCATTCCCATATCCAAATTATATATAGTCCTAGTTTCGGCTAGCATAAAATATTGGTAGGAACATCTGACAAGTAGGACGAAGTGCATACATCCTGTACAAATATCAATATATTTTACAGATAGAGTTAATTCATACTGTGATAATTCAAGGTAAACGACAACACAGCTCAGCGGAGATGAACATGTCCTAACAGGCTCCTCTTCAGCCTAGTGTTATCCTGGGGTAGGCTAATATTTCTGAAGCAAAAACACTGTTTCCTCTAAAAAGTAACAGACGTTGATTCTAAAGATCTGCACTCCATCTCCTTACAGCAGGCTTCTATCAGACGACAAATAACTAGTATACGCGATCTTGAACATCTTCGTTTACCTAAACCGTATCTCGTTTCGCATCCATCTTTGCCAGTAATGTTCTTTAGTGCGCTATACAACACGTTGCGGATACCTCGCTTATGCAGCACCACCTATAACGTTTCCAGTTGTACGTTTAATATCTCAGGCCTTGACTACCGCTTCAGATGGCTCATTCTCTCAGCACGAAACGAACTGGATTTACCCGAATCTGCTGAGTTTAATAGGCAGACACGTTGCTACTTTACGTTGCCATGGGATCTGCGCGATACCGCCGTTTGATCTTATTTTACTCTTAACTCCTGAATGATTCGGCACTGTTACGCTGATCAGCAACATAACGAAAGGATTCTGGAATGAACGCGACGAATAGCTACGATTAACCTGTGGATGCGCCCTTAAAACCGTTACCCAAACAGCAAATAGCAATCACTGGCAGGTTCAGTATTCTTGTACTGATCTGCTAATTCTGATTGCCTGATTTACCTCCTAGTGCATTCCTGTGGGCTGGGAGTGATCCACTGAACGCAATTCCCTGACCCGAGTGCTGCTCACAGCCTATTAGTTTTGTTATGGGCAAAGACGGAGAAATCAGGCAGTCAGAGGAAGCAGCGGCCTTATGTTCGATGCCTCATCGAGCACTTAACACGAGCTGGAACGTGCAGCCAATCCATGAACAGTTTCGGCGGCCGATGTATCGACGAGTCCTGGGCTATGCTGGCAGAATAGACATAAATGAATGGAACGGTATCACTAAGACCATTCGCTGATTTGTGTGCTGTGCCTATCATTATGAAGCCCATGCCGTATCTCGGCATCTATTCGATTAAAAGCAACGGGCAGGGTCAAACAGCCCACTTTTTACTCGCAATTCGGTCGGCACAAAGGGGAAAGGTAGTTGTCCCATTAACCAACCTATTTACATTTGTACACTGACTAACTAAAATTATTGTTTTGTCTAGTTATATGTTTGTGAAGGTTGTTGAGATTATTTTCTAATGCAAATACGTTTTGAGAAGCTTCTTTTTAAAGGAAAACAGGGCCATTACATCTTGGTGAAGTTTGGGCTCATTTCACAATGTATCTTCTTTTGTGGTCAATTTTTGTAGATAAGAATTACTTATTTTTTGAAACTGTCTTCAAAGTTGTACAAACAGGTCGCGGTTTACCATGTCGAAAAGTCATCCTTGAAATGTTTCATTCGTAGCGTCGAATAAATTTCCTTCCCTAAAACCAGGCCCTGTTACCGCTATCGATTACGTATAGATTCTGACGAGAATCTATAAGTTAACGAAAGCTTCATAAATAGAAAGTTATTCTAACTAGCAATGAAACCATATGGCTGTCTGAGTAAATCCATGATGGCGCAGTGAGCATTGCGTGATGGTGTACTACATTCTCGAAGTGTAGTTCTCATTTAATTGACTAAATTTAGACTTTCAATGCGGTAGTATTTCTTGATAATCGTCCAGAAGATCTGTACAACAAAAAACTATTAATCAGACCTTCATGATATCTAAGGCCAACCAAAAACCTCAGAGAATTTCTGAGTTCATACAGCCTACAGCTGTATGTACGCCTGTAGCACGTTGGCACTAGAATTTGAAGATCGGAGGAACTTGGTACAATAAAGCGACTCATCAATTTTAAACTTTTTATGTAAGTAACGTATGAACGTTTTTGTATTTGAACTTGAGTTTCCAGTGATCCGCCGCAACAGACCGACTGAAACTCGACGTTATAAGCGCAATTGGGCGTATAGGACATGACCGTGTTAGATTTGGTACGTGAACACCTCTAAGCAGTGGGATTGCAGCAGATTTGTCAACGTGATGTGTGCTGATATGCGACGACTTTAAGGCGATGACATTTTGTAACCTCTTCTAAGCGTTCAGTCTTATGAAAGACCTACTTTCTGAAAAGCGGGACCCAGACGAAACTTCTAGCAATAGAGTTTTGTTAGACAAGCTTTTCCTTAAAGCATCAGTACGTTGACGCATTGAAAGCAAGACAGAGTCGGTCCGGATTTTAGTTTATGCGTAGCGTTGACCAACTCCGAATCGCTTATCTAAATTAACTTCGCCGGGTTCACAACTTGATGCAAATAATATAGCACTGGCGCGCTGCGAGTTAGAGTATTACGTTGCATTCATAATTCCTTCGAGACTGCATAACTACACCGTCGTTTCGAACAAGTGAAGTTCTATCCAGTCATTTCTGGAGATAATCAACTAAAATATATAGAACTGAAGATATCTTCTCAGCGGTCTCTAGTCATCATCTGGAAGATGGGTGGCTTCGGTTCAGGCGAAATACTACCTTTTGGAAAATTTATCAACGATTTTATAATTATTCTTTTTATACCTTGCCAACCGTTAGTATGCACAGCCATACCTCAACGTAACGTACGGTAGAAATGTTTTGCAACCTTTTTTTAAAGAGGCTGGCCTTGAAGGTAGACGTAGCGGAGCTTATGGTTCGGACTAAATATAAAAAAAAAAACCGAATTTTGCTTCGAGGATCAATGATCGAAGTAAATATGGATTGTTCGTTAAGCGGTGGAGTACCTTCGACTGTGAGGCGTGAGGTGCGCACATGGTACAATCGCACCAACTCTCCCACATAAAATATCGGTCCTTATTAAGGTGACACTCGCAAAGGAGGTCATAAAAATACCTATACATTGTCGTTAATGCTGCTTTGATGCAAAAGTTCCGTTATAGGAATCAGAAGAAAGACAAGGCATGTTGAATCAGTCGGTTTACGCGAACACTGGTGCTATTAGTGCATCTGCTACAATTGTAAAATATCATGTAACAGAGAATACGCTATTCAGGCGAAACAATCATTCTTGAAAAACAAATTTATGTGAAGAAGCGATTTTAGTTTTTTTTTTACAAATCGTCTGTACAATCTGAGACACTGAATAAGTTTAGCCTAACCAGAAAAACTCGTCGTCGTTACACGAAATACACTTCTACTAGTTGTGGCCTCTTGATTAGCTGATCGGTTACATACGATAGAATTCAAACGCTGTCGAGAAATGCCTAAACTAAAGCCGAGTCGCAGAGTACAACAAGTACTCTTGATTATAGGGTATTCGAACGACCTCAGTGGATTTGTCTTAAGCACGAACCATTTTTTACGAGTAAACCACCATCTTGGTGGCGATCGAGCCTGTGAGAATTACAGTATCTCTTCAAATGTGCCCTTCGGGCTGCTGGAACCAAGCGAATTTCATTTGTAGGAGCATTTATAGGGACAAAAGCCTGCCATAGCCGAATGCGAAGAATGATCATTTGACGAAGCCGGGGGTTTATTTGAATGTTTACTTTATAAACAAAGTCCTCAAGGCTCAAGGATCCCGCGGTGAAAATAATAAGGTAGCTTCACCCTTTAGGCGGTTCAATATGTCAGTTTTCATATTCGACGTATTTGAAACGAGAGTTTAGAATGGTTTTTATAAGCTCGGAAGATTATTTAGTCGAGATTGTGTTTCTCGCATAAACTTAAAGAGCTCAGCATAAAGATAAGTGGATACAATCAATCGATTCGCTTTTTTTTTTTAAATTTTTTTTTTCTTTTTCCTTAGCAAACATATTTACTGAATACATCGGATTATTTTTATGGGAAAAGCCTTTTCATCGTTGGGGCGCAGTCTACACGTTTTTGCCTCATCCTATTGAGCCTGAATATAAAATTGGTTGTTTCTGTATACCGTTTCATCAGCAGCCATAGGGAATATTGTGCTTTCTGCTTGCAAATTACTGCGCCTCCTTTCAATTTTACCCATATTGTGATCTCAATGATAACAAATGTGGTCCATCTTACTTATTATTTGGCCTTTGATCCAAAAGTTGACGAAGAACGGAATTCACACGCACCCTCGAAACGTGGTTATCTCCGAAGTGATGCGTCGGCGTTGGTCCCGCTACTTCTATGGCGACAGACATAACACTTAAGAAAGTATCACAGCAACGGGAAGCTGCTCAATCAGCTGCGGCAGGGTTGAAAGAATAAAAATAAAAGAATAAAAAAAATAAATAAAATAAAATAAAATAAAAAGAAAGGAGAACCGACAACTCAGTCGGGGCCGTATGAGGTACTGTGAGCAAGGGAGATTTCTCAGCATCCACTCTCAAGCGACAGCTGGAGCACATCATACGGCGTAACGTATGGGGGAGGAAACTCATACAACTAGATTATTCAAAAAGAGTGTGTCAGAGAAAACAGGTAACTAGATGAGCCCAAAAATTGCTTTACTGATACAAATACTGCATAGCGTACGACATTCACGATCGCTCGTCTACCCGCTTCGTGCTATCCGACATCGATTACCATGCAAGTGCTACTGTTATATATCCGAGCCCCATAACTACGTTGACATATGCTGCACAGAATGGTACATGTGTTTGTACCATAAAAAAGTATATATAGCAATGATTATCCCAATGATAACAACATTAAACGCAAACGCTGATTCTAGGTCCTACAGAAGTCTGACAGCTCCGAGAGAAGCTCGAATTTCCAGGCTTACGAGCACGCACAAACTTGGTGATATTAACCGGCACCGAGTTTCACTACCACCGACATTTCAATTTGACCCGGGACCGAGAAGGCGCTATATTGAGGAAGTAGCTAGAAAAATAGCACTTTTAATAATATGAACCTCTGAGTGGCAGGCCTACGCTATTTGCTACCCGTTTAAACCTCATTATCCGTCGCGCCGGCCGTCTCCTCTGCTTTCGGTATCTGAAACTCCCGAGTTTGAGCCAGGATCCCGTCGAGCTCTACAGTTGCCACTAAGATCACCAGTCCACTACAACCCGTCCAAGCCTAGAGAAATTGTGATCTAGGCTCCGTAACTCTTTAATATGCGCGTCAAGGAAACCCAGCGCTTGAGGGCTCGGTATTTTGAATTGAGATAGGGTTAGATAAAAGCAACACGTGACTAAAAACGACAATAACAACATCGTTTGATGTCGTTAAGCATGTTGGCATAGACGAAAATTCTGTCTGACAATATCTGACAACGATCGTATATATTGTACTGTACAGTCATACCAGAATACCACACAAAAGCCATTCAATTTACGGAGCCTGTCCGATATGCTTGCTTCTCTGTGAATGTTTGACAATGTGAAATATCAAGCTAATCAGAAAATTTCGAAGAAACGAAAACAACGATTTTCCAGCATACATTTACTTAACACCAGAATGAAACCAGAAAGGGCAAAAGGGATAATATCAGAAGTCAATGCAATATGCCATAACCTTAAGCCAGGTTATTCGACTTATTCCGTATGTTTTCGAGTGCAAACATTTTTATAAGCTCGATTGTAGTCGATACGAGCGGAAGGAAGAACGAGCTTACACAATGATTGACAATATGGAGGCTCGCCTGGGCCCAGAATTACCGTTTCGCGCAATTCACTTCACCTCTACCCTAGTATAACTGGGTCAATCCCTTACCTTCTTTCCGACAACTATGGCTTTATTTAGCATCCAAGCATAGTCGAAAGCCGGCGGCGTTGTTATAACAAGCTGCGATGCAGCTGTAGATCTCTGAATATTTTTTCTATGTCTAACTTTACGCTGTTTGCCCTGTTACGTCTAATGCAACAAGGTTCTGTATAATAGAGATCTGTGATACGAAAGCCAGCGCTTTTTTCTGCCAATCAAAACATTTCTGTCCCGTACGCTAAAGGTTCATATCAGCCGTGGTCTGCATATTTGGCTTAAAATTCGAAATTTCATTCGCCTTGGCGCAAACAGTACAAACGTGTATGCGCGTGTATATCTCCTTGTCTTTCCATCGTTTCCTTAATATTTTTTGTTTCCTACTTGTGGGCGACATCGGCGTTGACAAGTCGTCACTGATTTGTAGTCGCGTCAACGAGGTCGCTCACAATATCGCCGGTCTAGCGAAAAGTCTATCTAAATGTCTGAAGTTGAGACAACATCGGAAAACACACGTGACTTCGTATATTTATTAGTAAGCTAGAATTCGAGATCGAACTTTGGGCGGTTTTTCTCCACGACTGGGCCACTAGGCCAACGGAAGCTGCGGCAAAATATATGTCGGAGACGACATCTGAGCAAATGGTCAGACATTTGTACGGTGTGAGTAAGATGGACAAACGAGGACGTGCTTGATTGCCAAAAAGGTTCCGCTATAACTGTGAACGGTATCCAAAGAGGGCATCCACGAACACGAGATCTCCTCTCGCTCTTGCATTTTTGTACTAAGGTAGTTGCAGCGTCTTCAGCAATGGTTATCGCAGTTGCCTTTATCATTGTTTCCTATGAAAGAACTACCGTATTAGCTATCACCCTGAGGTCTACCGCAGAACGCCGTTCTCTTTACTTTTATTTTTTTTGGTAGCTCTTCGTGGCTAGGAAAATCGTACTAGTAGCATCCACCAGATGAATTAAGTCAGCACCTTGTTTCGTGTTTCTGCATGATTATCGCTACGGGTATGGAATACCTTTTATAGTAGCGACTGAGAAGGTTATCTAGACTTTCCATGATTCCAGCGGACTGCTAACTGCTGCCAGTCGTAAAATGAATCTGAACGGGAAAAGATTGCGGGACATGTGTCTGCGGCAACGTGCCACTATGTAAGATAAAAGCGCAACAATACAAAACAGGGGCACCCTCATACGGCGTGGACGCGAGATGCAATTTTGTCCGGGAGAGGAACAAACCGGGAAAGTAAGATTTTCCAGTTGCTCTCACCTGTATATAAGAACGATGGCGGAGACCGTAGGTAAATAGTGAAGGATATCTAGAGGTCGACAAGAACGAAGGCTGGAAGTCTATGTAGATACGAGCATTAGCTTATAAATGATGAGCAATAAAGAAGATTTGCGTGAATATGTTGGTTCATAATAGCCAATGCTCATGATGTCGACATTTCAATACATTATAAAAAAGCATTCGAAGCAATTTTCGCCGAAGGACATGGCCAACTAGTAGGCAGTCGTCTAGTTTCACCCGAAATGCATTGTATCACCCAGGGTCAACACCATACATTGTGGTTATGTTCCGCATCGTCTCCAGTCTATGTGGGTATCTTTTCTAATCTGCACCCTAATGATCTCACTTGGATTTTCATCAATAACAAATGTCTGCACAACGGCCGCCAAAAAGGATATTTTCGGTAAATAGCACAAAATGGAGTGACCGAAAAATGGCTCTCCCTTCTATGTTACTTAGAATATTTGTGAAACTGCATAATAAGTCAGCTATTGCATACATTTGCATAAATCCAAGTATTTCATCTACGAAACTGTACCTAAACCGCGATACACCCTATATACATAGCCATTGTGTACCAATTACCAATTATGATTTTTTTTTTTTTATCTAAGTAGAACCCTCTAACACTTGCTCATAATTTTCTTCTTTCTACGCTTGAATCTGATTAAAATTCTCTATATGTATATTTAACTGATTGTCCGATGAGAAAGATTATCTTAACATACATAAACGTATCCACAAACACACACCGCATTGAATCTCTCCTGCGCTCTGTCTACGTATGTATGGCATTGAATGAAATTTATTGCTTTAATCTGTTCTTCGCACGTACCGTGGGCGGCTCGGAGACATCTTCGACGGTTCCCTCGTCCCCTTCCTCATCTTCAGACGATGAGGGTTCCAACATGACGGCACCGACGGTGGCGCTGACGTTGCCTAGTTTTTCTCAGGCGGCAGCGTCGAACAGCCTCCTCACGGGCCTCTTCGGCCGCTACTCTCGCAATGACCAGCAACTAATTGAGTGAATAATGGCAACTGTGGCCGCGCTAGTGGTAGCGACACCGACGAAACTTTACTATGATGATTACTTGAAGAAGAAGCAGAAAGACGAACGAGGAACGACCTGCGCGATCAAAAACTTCGATTCGTAGCAGTAGAAATATGTAGTATCAGGATTCGTGGTAATGCTATGGCACGCGCACACCGCCACGCGGAAACAGTACGCAACCTAACCATACATTTTCGCGAACACTAAATAGGACAGTGTGTTTAGTTTATAGGATAGTGTGAATTAAAAACTTCTCTGAAGTGTTGCTTTTCGACGTCCTTATCAGTGTCGCCTGGTCGTACCTGTCCACTGTTTCTGTCGCCGGCGGTTTGGCTGTTTGAGCCTGCTCTTTTAGCTTGCCTTTGCTCTTGGGACTACTCGGTAGCGCGACGCGTAACAAAACGCACAGATCTCGCTTGATTTATTTGATTCTCTCAGCTCGTATGTGGCGCAGAAGCGTTCCTGTTTTCTGTCTAGGACAGCTAACAGCGTACTAATGGAATGGATACTAATACGGGAAGGGCCGTTAGGTTGGTGTGTTTGATTTGCAATTGACTATTTGCAGTTCCTGTTCCGGACCATGATATTTTTGAATTTGCGTTTATGCCCTTCGGAATACTGCTTTGCACGAGGAGTGGCTGACCAGATAATTGATCGCGGGAATAGCTAAAATTTTCTCTTTGAGGAAAGAGCCCTTTGCGGAGAAAAGTTTCCACCGCAACAGCGGAAAGGCACTTGAGGAAAACGAATGACCTCGCGTCAGTTTAATTAGTTATAGTCAACACGTTCTCCCGCAAAGTACCAAGTTCGTTCACCGCAATTAAGTTATACACAGTAAATAAGAAACAAGCAGACTGGAAATTTTTCGGTATGTCTGTATGTGCGTGATAGAAATTTTACGCTCCTGATTTCCTCTCCTTCTTGCGTCGTCGCTGTTATCTGTTACGAAAACACCACCTATTTGACGTTTTCGTTTTCTTCGATCTGCGTTTTTTTTTGTCTACTCCGCCGTTTGTCCTGCCCTTGCTATGACAAATGGTGGTTCAGCGTTACGGCCTACATATGCCTCGATTCGTAGTAGCGAAAATGCTCGCTGTCTCCTCTTTCCTTCATCGTCAGGGGGTCTAAATAACAATTACTCACTAGCCGAATTTTGTCCTGATATACCTTCGATTCTCACTAGCGATAGGTTGTCGATATTTCTATTGACATTGTAAGCATCCTTTTAATATGAGCTTGCCGCAAAGCGAACCACGGTCTCGGAATACGCCCACTACTATGTTGTTGTGATTGACTTGACGGTAGCTCAGCTTACAAGGCTCTATCTGGAAAAGAAATCAGAACGGATAAACCAGAAAAATAGATATTAGTCAGTTACGTGCTGATACAGATTCTAGAAATAGGTGTAAAAAAAACATCTGTCGGGAATTAGACAAGCTCGTTTTGAATAAAAACGAAACAACTGTTATGCGTTATATACATAGGTTAATAGGTTATGCGTTTATAAACGGTCTTAAGACTGTGACGATATTCAGTAAAATTTTATAAGAAGGAATGTTTGAACTATTTAACGTAATTTAATATTTGACAGATATATTAAAGATATATACATTAATTTCAATATCGTTCATGTTTATTTGTTTATTATACCATGTTTTCTTTTTTTTTGCTGGTGGTCCACAAGCCCCGGTCAACTATCTGTCTTATCTAACACTATTTCACTTAGTGTATTGTAGTGCTCTTAATCTCAGACTGAAGTAACTAAACGGCGGCGTGGTATTTGAAACTCAACTAGATCCTATCAGTATCTGAGCAGTTGTAAAACGCATCGCAAAATCCTAATCTAAGACCTTATCATGCTCCAACTCACTGGGATGAATTATGGAAATAGGCCAGGATACCGCTGGTCCTGAAGGTCTAATCAATTTTTTGCATCATATGTAAACAGAGATCATAATTTTTCATATGAATGTATTCAATAGCTCTGACTGCGACATGACACGTTTCCCCCGTTGTGTGACGCCAGGCTTCATCGATACAGATCTATTGTTGAAGTCATAGTATGTATTGCGGATTGTAAAATTGCGCTGGCTGACGTAATAACCCAGGATGAATAGGGGAGAACATGCAAAACTACCGAAACATATTAAATCCACTAATTCTACATTGTTGCACAATGTTTTTTTTGCACAATTTCGAAATCTCTATAAAGCCAGCTTCATTCGATTGTTTTCGTGGTAGTTCCCCCAGGTGTTTTTCAACATTACCGAAAACGCCACGTTTCGTAGCCCCCGTACGAGCAGGCAGCTGGGAATATGGTCGTATCAAAAAAAAATACCTACCGTCTAATTGACTATCGTTTCATAGGTAGCTTCTTTCCACTAGGTCTTACAGGCTTTTGGCCTATTTCATGTTGGTGGCAATAGTGGAATCTATAATATCATATGGGTTGTAATACTTTGGTATTGGTTTTCCCGCCGATCTTTACGTTGTGTTATTGTTGTCAACGTACCCTGTCAAGGTTTACATGGTTCGGCTAGTGTACAGCTCAAGCACAAAGCCAGCGCAACACGAGAGAAGGCGCTTTTTTTCACTGCTTCGGGGTTCCTTCCTGCTGTTTGGTAATCTCCTTTCTATAGGCATCTTATCGCCTTGTCTATAATTAGCTACGGACATTGTGCGAGACCAGGATGAGGTGTATCCTCTTGTTGACAGGTCAGAGCGTCCGTGACGGGCGAACTCTGAGGCTATAATTGCCAACGATTCTGCAACAGGAACATAATTTCTTTGAGGGACCGAGTGAGTCATCGAACGACTAGGGGTTACTCGCTCTTGTCGCATGGCCGCTCGCTTTCGCTCGGTCATTGGTTACGGGAGTTAACCAGGGCAGGAGCGGTGGAAAAGGCGGTAGCAGCAGCGGCGGAGTCAGCTACAAGCAAGCGTTCTTCTCGGCAAAACCCGTCGCTAGGAAAAAGCTATCTCTGCTGTCGATGCCCGAGTATATAGCTGTTCTTCAACGATTTTCGTACCAGTCACTCACGCGGTGGCACAATAGCTCAGTAGTCGGTTAGCCGACTAGTATCGAATCGTCGATCGGAAGGTTCAACAAAATTACTGGCAAAGCGTACCTCTCAGCCGCTAACTGATCAGCCGGATATCCCGGCACACCGATTTCGCTATATATCAGTTCTCCTCATTGATCGTAATCCTTCAACTTTAAATCGCTTTCTCTTTTTTTTGGCCTTTTAGCCCCATTTTGGAAGCAGACGGGTATAGCTCAGCAGGGGAAGGGGTTCTACGCCTGCTACCCGTAGATTTCTTATATATTTTTCTTGTCACGTCCTTGTCAACGAAAATTCTATACGCTCTATCATCGGGGTCCGCCCGATGTGTTGCTATGTAGAAAACGGCCGTGAAACTGTTTAGTGTAGTCCACAGTAGGCTTCGCCTGCGTCCAAGGAACCTCTTGCTCCTATCCACCTCATAACATTGATTTTGACGGCCACCCGGGAGCTTCGGTTCGACGGGGATCGGGCGCGGGATACAAAGACTGGCCATCGTGATGATGATCTGGATGCTCCATTGCCTAGTCTGCTGGGCTATTTCACACGGGTCGTCGTCGTTGGCTTTGGAGGTAGATGCCTAGCTAGCAACGATTTGCCCTCTTCGCAAGTACTTGCGCCGGCAAGAACAGTTGAGCAACGACCAATTTCCAGCAATGCCAACTAACGCGTTATCAACAGACTAATACAGGTGTATCGACTAATACACAAACACATGGATGCTCCATGTGTCCCCAAAGAGGAGGGTTCTCTACTCACTAAAATAGCAGACCTCGTAAACTAACAAGTTTGGTTTCCACTGTAGCTCGCTTGTCCTCCTTGTTGGTCCTGCGCACTGCTATCCACTCATTGTCTTATTTTATCGACTAAACAGGATGGCCAAGTGTACGTACGCGAACCGCTAGCGTGAACTCGTATTGTGACTACCGTATTGATAGTACTAACAGCTTTTTCCTTTCCTCTGTGTCATGTCACTTATTCGTGGAGATAGCCTCGTTAGAGTCATCCATTAGGCATACTCAGAATACTCGGGAGTAGAATCAGTGACCATGTTGGATACATTTGTGCATAGGTCTACTCAACCTCACCCCATTTCGTCCAAGGATTGCAGACGTTGCTTTATCGTCTCGGCAAAATCAGCTTTTCCCAATATTTCCGCCTACATAAAATAACCATTGGTTCCCCGCAGCGGGTCACAATCTCGCGGCGCCTCAAATCTCATTGCATTATTCTATATTGTCGGCTCGCCCTCGGCGTTGCTGTGGTTCCCGCTGATTCTGGGAACGCATGATTTGATAATATAATCGTATAACTAAGTGTGTTTCGTGACAGACGCGCTGCTTATTGACTTATGATTGACTGTACAGTATGACATCGAGGCAGGAAAACGGCGAATAGAATAGTAAGGGATGAATTTAGCCCGCGAACCCAGCTTCTATCGAATGATCTTTGCAGTTGGCAATGCTGGCTGAAACTCGCAGGACTTTAAGCAATCATAGAGCATCTTAGTACAGTCGTGGCTACCAATACCCGCCGTACACGTGGTAGTACCCGTGACCTGACATATACATATGTATCGTTCAGGGTTATGTGTGAGAGGTAAAACGCCTGACATGTTAACAACATCGGGGGTCCAGAGGAGACCGACGTAACGAGCCAATGCCAAACTACAGTGTATTAATCACTGTGTGTATAGACTCCATAAAGAATAACGGCATCGTGGAAAACAACTGCCTCAGTCCACTCTTCTGCTGCTCTCGTGTTTAGGCCGAAACACCCTCGATTTAGCTTGTCTTTGAATAGAACCCATAGCGTGACCTATTATTCTTTTTAGCAACAGGAGGGTTTACTGCGTCTAACTGGGCGCGAGTGGACGTATGTGTGTGAGCATTCCAAATGTAGCAGATGTATTCTGTGAGGCCGATCACGTCGAGCGGACGGTCTCTCGAGCTGGCTGGCAGTATGTACGGCCATACCCCCGCGTCTCTTCCTTCTTCAGAGTTACTGCTGCAATTCTTTCATTTGTGATCGACGAAGTCAGCACGAAATACGCAACAGTTGATTTTAGTATTGAGCTATTCAAGTCCTAGGACGTTCGGAGCGGGCAGCCTGCTTCCGCCTGTGTGCTGCTAGGGATCCAAAGGACAGCGGGACAGATTCGGCCAGCCACCTCTTTGCACTGTCTGTTTTATCCTACCACTGCGATGACAATAACTAAAATACATCAACTACTAGATCCCCATCTGGGTGGCCTGCATCCGACTAGGATCACCAACGCAGGCCGCCATATTGACGCAGCGGGTTTTCACAACAAACAAGCTGTTCAGCGTCGATTGTAGCCATTTTCGTCCATATATTGTGGATGCTCTTATTGTATGGATGCATGCAAGTTGATCCCAATGGCGAAGGCGAGAGGAAACAACCGGACAGGCGTGAAGTATAGCCTTCTCTGCGTAGTCAGAGCTGGTTGAGAGATACAATACGATTCCACGCTGCTATTTACACTTAGACTCGTAGATGCGCCCATGTTCACGGAGCAAGCCTATGTATAGATTAAAAAATATCTATCATAACGCCAATGTCAGTCAATCGGCCCATGGGAGTCGAGGTAAAATGTTATTCAGAACTCAATCGAGTAAACACCATCGGAGGGCAGCGTGAAATAAATTGAGTCACATGTTCTATTATTAAGAACGATTATCGCCATAACTTACTTAGTTTAAACAGAAATACATCATGTCGCGCACAAGTCAACTGAAACTCGCTTAGTGTGTATTATACTTTATGTAGAACGTAGACGCTCCCGACAATTCTATACATCGAATTTTGCAGATTTCAAGATTGATCTAAGATCTCTGGTTCATCTCTCATTTCTAAACCATATTATGAAATGCGCAGAAGTCGCTGCCCAAATAACGATAAGTACAAATCAAATATATCATGCTCAGGGTTTTTGTCTGTTTTTCTCGCTATATTTCTACAACGGAAACAGTTTCGTTATTTCGCTCTTGTGCTCGATGCGGAAAAACGGGACAGTAATTACACACAGCTTTCAACTGTACAATTTAAATTAAAGCACATCATCGAGCGTCCGGAAATGACAACGGGGCATCACGCATTAAATAGAACGTTTAGCGAAATGGACTTTACGACACTGCAAAGGGCAAATATTGGTGGCGGAATATTTTAGCCCAATGCAAACAAATGGCAGCGATATAATAAACACGCAACAATTAGGGAACGTACACTAGATTATATATGCG